ATGGGAATGATTTCCACTTCTCAGGTTTGTGATAAGAATTAAAAGTGATGTTTAGGCAAGGTGTAGTGGCTCACGGCTGTAATCCCAGCACTTCGGGAGGCTGAGGCAGGTGGATCACTTGAGGTCAGGAGTTCAAGATCAGCCTGGCCAACATGGTGAAACTCCATCTCTACTAAAAATATAAAAATTAGCCGGGCATGGTGGTGCACGCCTGTAATCCCAGCTACTCGGGAGGCTGAGGCAGGAGAATTGCTTGAACCAGGAGGTGGAGGTTGTAGTGAGCCAAGATCATGCCACTGCACTCCAGCCTGGGCGACAGAGTGAGACTCCGTGTCGAAATGAAAAAAAAAAAAAAAAATGATAATGTTTGTGAAGTATTTAGCATGGAGCCTGACAATATAAAACCTGACAAGTAGTAAATGCTCAGTAAATGGGAGTGATCACTATTAATGTGCCCTAAAACACTGCAGTGTGGAGTATACAGAGAACAATAATCACATCCAGAGCCTTCCATCGGGTAGGATGAGTAAACCAATGTGTTTTTTTATGTTTATTTATTTATTATTATTATTATTATTTTTGAGACGGCATTGTGCTCTGTTGCCCAGGCTGGAGTACAATGGCGCCATCTTGGCTCACTACAACCTCTGCCTCCTGGGTTCAAGTGATTCTCTTGCCTCAGCCCTCCAAGTAGCTGGGATTATAGGCACCCACCACCACACCCAGCTAATTTTTGTAATTTTATTAGAGGCAGGGTTTCACCATGCTGGCCAGGCTGGTCTCGAACTCCTGACCTCAGGTGATCCATCTGCCTTGGCCTCCCAAAGTGCTGGGATTACAGGCATGAGCCACTTCACCCAGCCAATTATTATTGTTTTTTGAGACAGGGTCTCACTCTGTCACCAGGCTTGAGTGCAGTGGTGCAATCTCAGCTCACTGCAACCTCCGCTTCCTGGGTTCAAGAAATTCTCATGTCTCAGCCTCCCTAGTAACTGGGATTACAGGCACATGCCACCACGCCCAGCTAATTTTTGTGGGGTTTGTTTGTTTGTTTATTGAGAGAAAGTCTCACTCTTGTCCCCCAGGCTGGAGTGCAATGGCGCGATCTTGGCTCACTGCAACCTCTGCCTCCTGGGTTCAAGCAATTCTCCTGCCTCATTCCCCTGAGTAGCTGGGATTATAAGCACCTGCTACCACGCCCGGCTAATTTTTGTATTTGTGTTACAGACGTGGTTTTACCATGTTGGCCAGGCTGGTCTAGAACTCCTGACCTCAGGTGATCCACCCACCTCGGCCTCCCAAAGTGCTGGGATTACAGGCGTGAGCCACTGTGCCCGGCCAGAGGTAATTAAGTTTTGAGGGTGGAAGCTTCATGATGGCATTAGTGCCCTTATAAGACACCTGAGAAAGAGGATCTCTCTCTAGGCCATGTGAGGAACACAGGAAGACGGTGGCTGTCTACAAATCACGAATGGGGGCAGCACCGGACACCAAATCTGCTGGCACCTTGACCTTGGACTTTCCAGCCTCTGGAGTTGTGAGAAGTCACCCAGTGTATGGTATTTGTGATAAAAGCCTGAGTTGGCTGGGCGCAGTGGCTCATGCCTGTAATCCCAGAGCAGTGGCTCATGCCTGTAATCCCAGCACTTTGGAAGGCCACGGCAGGTGGATCACTTTAGGTCAGGAGTTCGAGACCAGCCTGGCCAACATGGTGAAACCCCAGCTCTACTAAAACCACAAAAATTAGCCAGGTGTGGTTGTGCTCACCTATAATTCCAGCTACTTGGGAGGCTGAGGCAGGAGAATTGCCTGAACCTGGGAGGCAGAGGTTGCAGTGAGCCGAGATCATGCCAATGTGCTCTAGCCTGGGTGACAGAGAGAGACTCCATCTCAAAAAAAAAAAAAAAAAAAAAAAAGCCTGAGCTGACCAGACAGTACTGCAGTATGCTGAGCACCCCAGCTGATAAGGAATTGGATCTCATCCGTCCACTCCGTGCCACACACTATGCCTCGTGCACTGAATTGTACAGCCTTATGACCTTATGACCTCCCCAACAAGGAGGTGCTGTTATCATCTCCATTTTACAAATAAGGAGATAGGTACAGAGAGGCTAAGTGGCTCGTCCAAAGTCAAACCAGGGGAAGAAGCAGAACCAGAATTCCAACCAGACTGTATAACCCAGCACGACCGCCACTAATACCATGTAAAATGGCTGTCTTAGCGTTTGAGTACCCCTTCTCATGTTTAGACATGGGTTCCCCAAACAACTATTTTGGCATAGAATATCCATATTTTTAACAAACACCCCTACATAAATATTTCAACATGCTCCTTATTTTCAGAGCTGTCAACCAATTCCAATTTATAACAGTTGCTTTTCTACAGATTAGTCAACTAACAGGAAATAAAAAATAAAAACCGAGTCCACACTGAATTCCCTAAGGGAACAGAGCCATTGCCTCAAAGTATTTCAACGTGCTAATACTTCTAAAGTTCTGTTCAAACTGGGTATGGTGGCTCACTCCCATTATCCCAGCACTTTGGGAGGCCATGGTGGGAGGATCACTTGAGGCCAACAGTTTGAGACTTGCGTGGGCAACAAAGCGAGACCCTGTCACTACAAAATATTTTTAAAAATTAAAAAAAAAAAAAAAAAGCCAGCTATGGTGATGTGAGCCTGTAATCCCAACTACTTGAGAGGCTGAGGCAGGAGGATAGCTTCAGCTCAGGAGTTCAAGGCTGCAGTGAGCTGTGATGGTGCCACGGTACTCCAGCCTAGGCACAGAGCAAGATCCTGTCTCTAAATAAATAAATAAATAAATAAATAAATAAATAAATACACAAACAAAGTTCTGTTCAACTGCCTCCATTCACTCATTCTAAGAAATGCTGTTGCTACCCAGGGATGATGAAAAAATCCATTTTAGGGACAGAAAGTCATGTAGAGGCAGCACGATGGCAGGGAAAAAAGGGAAGGTCAAAGGAACTAAGATGTTAAGTCTAGAAAGGAAAAGGATAAAGAATTATCTAATTCTTGGTCAGTGATATGGTTTGGATTTGTGTCCTGCCCAAATGTCATGTGGAATTGTCATCCCCAGTGTTGGAGGTGGGGCCTGGTGGGAGGTGATTGGTTCATGGGGCAGTTCCTCCTAAATGATTTATAGCACCATCCCCTTGGTGCTGGGGTCTCATGAGATCTGGTTGTTTAAAAGTGTGTAGCACCTTCCCCCGCTTTCTTCCTCCCGCTCCAGCCATGTGAAGTGCCAGCTTCCCCTTCACCTTCCACCCTGATTGATGCCCAGTAGGTGCTGCTATGCTTCCTGTACAGCCTGCAGAACTGTGAGTCAATTAAACCTCTTTTCTCTATAAATTACCCAGTCTCAGGCATCTCTTTATAGCAGTGTGAGAACAAACTAACACAGTCAGGTACTAAATTAAACAGGAGACTTACTGATCCTGATTACTCTATGTCCTGAAAATCAGAAGAGAATCCCAAAAGAGTTTAAACATATTTCTCCATAGAATTCTTGAAGGCAATGACAGTTACACATCCTACCTATAGTCATCACTGAACTCATCATCATTAAAGGCTACATTTCCTTAGTACCCACAATGAGTTCTTTCTAAAAATATATATTTGGATTTTGTTGTTGTTGTTTGTTTTTTGTTTTGAGACAGGGTTTTGCTCTTTCGCCCAGACTGGAGTGAAGTGGCGCGATCTCAGCTCACTGCAACCTCTGCCTCCCGGGTTCAAGTGATTCTCCTGCTTCAGCCTCCTGAGTAGCTGGGATTACAGGTGCCCACCACCACACCTGGCTAATTTTTGTATTTTCAGTAGAGACAGGGTTTCGCCATGTTGGCCAAGGTGGTCTTGAACTCCTGACCTTAGGTGATCCACCCGTCTAGCCTTCCAAAGTATTAGGATTACAGGCATGAGACACCATGCCTGGCCATATGGATTTCTTAATATTAACAACAACAGCATCGACTGAGCACCCATCGATGGCAGAAAAACCATGCTAAGTACCTTGCAGGTTTACCTTAAGTTAAACCTGACTAGGTGGAGCAAGCATTCTGATCGCCATTTTGTAGCTGACTCTGGAGCTCAGAGGGGTTAAGGAGCATGCCCCAAGTCACACAGCCAGTAAGTGGCAGAGCTGAACTTCAAATCCAGGTCTGTGTGATAAACCCAGGGGATTAACCAAAACTAACGAGAAATAAATGAATAAATAAATAAATCCAGGTCTGTGGACCTCCAGACTCAGATCAGGTAATTAATATGAAAGAGAGGGCTTTACAGTTACTAAAGACAGTCACTACCTACGTCAGGGAATTAGCATTAGCTTAAATAATAGGCGTTTCGGCAATCCAGTCAGGAAACCTTGTAGAAAGGTTGTTACTTAAATCCAGAGTATACTTCATACAAGGAATGCTAAAGTCTCTATTTTTACTACTCATCACATATAACAGGCCCACATTGCTATTTTCTGAGGTTTTTTTTTTTTTTTTTTTGAGACGGAGTCTTGCTCTGTCGCCTGTGCTGGAGTGCAGTGGCCAGATCTCAGCTCACTGCAAGCTCCGCCTCCCAGGTTCACGCCATTCTCCTGCCTCAGCTTCCCGTGTAGCTGGGACTACAGGCGCCCGCCACCTTATTTTCTGAGTTTTAAAAGAACAAAACAAAAAAAACCAATTCCACTCTCTGTTGAACCAAATATTCCCCTGCTTCTGAACTCATTTTGAGGGAGATTAGAAAGAGACCTGAGATTAACAGCAACAATAACAAAAAGACTCCAGGAAACAGCTCCTTGTCATTGCTGTGCCAGGGAAGCTGTCCTTTGAAGTTCCTCCTGACAGCTTTGCTTAGGTGAGATGTTTTTCTGCCTAAGACAATGAAGCCTTCTCAGAAATCTGCTATTGGAAGAGAGCGAAACAAACTATCACACACCCGTATAGCTGCTGGTTGTTTTTAAGTTAGTTTGTTTTAAACTCTGCTTATTACCTGGATCCACATCAGAAGAACAAGGAAGAGAATGGAATTCCAAAGAACTGAAAGCCTCGCTGTTGGCTTCTTGGCTGGGTCTCTGCAGGACATAATCTCTTATGGCACACACTGATGGCAGGTCCAAAGCACTGCTCTCCTCTGACAAGCTGCCTGAAGTGGCGTCCCTGGCTGCCATAGTCCTGCCATGGAAAAAATAATTCAATACAAAAGGCACCACATAGCAGGATCCTTCATTGGAGACAGAGCTTGAAGAATTTTATTTGTTTTTCTTATTTTTATTTTTATTTTTGTAGAGATCAGGTCTCACTAAGTTGCCCAGGTTGGTCTTGAACTCCTGGGCTTAAGCAATCTTCCCACCTCACCTCCCAAAGTGATGGGATTATGGGTGTGAGCCACCATACCCACCCAAACAATTTTAAAGGTCAAACAACAGTGACATCAGAATGATTTACAGTAGTCCCCCCTCGTGTGTGATTTTGCTCTCTGCAGTTTCAGTTAATCTCACTCAACCATGGTTCAAAAATATTACATGGAAAACTCCAGAAACAAACAATTGGTAAGTTTGCAATTGTGAACCATTCTCAGTATTGTGATGAAATCGCGTGCTGTCCTACTCCATCCCACCTGGGACGTTAATTACCCCTCCATCCAGTGTATCTGAACTATACATGCTACCTGCCCCTTAGTCATTCAGTAGCCTTCTCAGTTATGAGATTGACGGTTGTGGTATCACAGTGCTTGTGTTCAAGTAACTCTTATTTTACTTATTAATGGCCCCAAAACACAACAGTAGTGATGCCGGCAAGTCAGATATGCCAAAGATAGGCTACAAAGTCCTTTCTTTAGGCAAAAAGGTAAAGTTGACTGGGCGCACTGGCTCACACCTGTAATCCCAGCACTTTGGGAGGCTGAGGCGGGTGGATCACCTGAGGTCAGGAGTTCAAGACTAGCCTAGCCAACATGGTGAAACCTGTCTCTACTAAAAATACAAAAATTAGCCAGGCGTGGTGGTGGGCACCTGTAATCCCAGCTACTTGGGAGTCAGAGGCAAGAGAATCCCTTGAACCCGTGAAGTGAAGGTTGCAGTGAGCCGAGACCGTGCCATTGCACTCCAGCCTGGGCAAACTCCATCTCAAAAAAAAAAAAAAAAAAAAAAAAGGTAAAAGTTCTCAACTCAATAAGGAAAGAAAAAAATCATATGCCTAGGTTACTAAGATCTACTGTAACAAGGAATCTTCTATCCATGAAATTGTGAAGAAGGAAAAAAAAAAATTCATGTCAGTCTTGATGACACACCTCAAACTGCAAAAGTTACAGCCACACGGAGGTTGCAGTGAGCCGAGATCGCACCACTGCACACCAGCCTGGGCTACAGAGCAAGACTCTGTCTCAAAAAAAAAAAAAAAAAAAGTTATGGAGTTACAACCACAGTACATAAGTGCTTAGTTAAGATGGAAAAGGCATTACATTTGTGGGTAGAAGACATGAACAGAAAGGTGTTCTGACAGCAATGTGTTGTACCAGAAAGCACGGAGCCTACACAAAGACATCAGCAAGGATCCCCTGAAACAAGTGACACCCAGCCATTTACTGCAAGTAAGGGACCGTTATACAGATTCAAGAATAGGTTTGGACTGAAAAGCATAAAAACTACTAAAGAGGTTGCATTTGCCAGTGAAGAAGCTGCTGCCACATTTTCGGCAGACTTGAAGAAGTAGATTAAGGAGAAAAGATATCATACACAGCAAGTCTTCAATTGCAATAAGACCGGCCTCTTCTGGAAGAAGATGACCAACAGAACCTAAATTCATAAAAGTGCAAAGGAAGCACCAGGGCATAAAGCACGGAAAGACAGATTAACTCTCGTACTGTGTGGCAACGCTGCAGGGCATATGATAAAGCCAAGCATGGTGTACAGAGCAAAGAACCCATGTGCCCTCAAAAGCAAAACCAAAACTTATTTATGCTTGTGTTCTGGCCATATAATCAGAAAGTATGAGTGACAGCTGTCTTGTTTATAGAATGGTTCCACCAATGCATCAATGGTTCCCAGAAGTGAAAAAATATTTGAAAGAGGAAGGGTTGGAATTTAAGGACCTATTAATAATAGATAATGTACCCAGCCATCCTGAATCTGTTTGCCATGAACATGAAAATGCTGAGGTTGTATTTTTATCTGCAAATACAACCTTTTTCTTCAGCCGCTTGACTAGGACATCATTCATTTTCCCAAGGCCACATACATCTGCCTGGTATTTGATCACATTCAATCAGCAATTGATGCAGATCGTAAACTGGAAATAATGTAGTGCTGGAAATCATTCACTATTGCTGATGCAATAGCACTCATCAAAGTTGCAATGGATGAATTAAATCACAAACTAAATGCCTGCTGGAAGGACTGATGGAGTGGCAGTTGTGAATGATTTTAAAGCCTTCCCCGAAATTGATAGAGAAGTTGGGAAAATCATCCATGCAACAAGACAAGCTGATGGAGAAGGATTTGCTGATATGCTTGATGAAGTAGAAGGACATACTGAAGGCCATTGAGAAGTGTTAACAAATGAGGAACTGGAAGAACTTGTCATGTCCTCTATAGAGGAAGAGGAAGATGAAGAAGAAGAAACTAAAGCAGAACCAGCCATGTGGACATTACTAAAATTTGCTGAAGTGTTTCAAACTGCACAGACATGAAAACATAAAATTATGGCATACGATCTTCAGATGGAACGCAGCATTAAAATCACCCGTATGATCACAGATAGTCTACAACTTCGCAGCAACACTTTTATGGAGTTACAAAGAAAGGCAACAACCTCTGATTACAATGTTCTTCCAAAAGTTTTCAGCAAAAAACACTATCAAGGATCCCCAAGCATCGAGATCTTCATGGCTCAATGATCCAGGATTGCCCGAAGCAGAGGATCCTCCTTCTGATGTAACCTCAGTAGCCGAACACTACATCGCAGTGCCTGCGCCATTCACCTCCCTTCATCTCATCACATAGGTATTTTCTTTTCTTTTCTTTTTTTTTTTTGAGACGGAGTTTCACTTGTTGCCCAGGCTGGAGTGCAATGGCGCGATCTCGGCTCACTACAACCTCCACCTCCCAGGTTCAAGTGATTCTCCTGCCTCAGCCTCTCAAGTAGCTGGGATTACAGGCATGCACCACCAGGCCTGGCTAATTTTTGTATTTTTAGTACAGATGGACTTTTGCCATGTTGGCCAGGCTGGTCTCGAACTCCTGACCTCAGATGATCCACCCGTCTCAGCCTCCTAAAGTGCTGGGATTACAGGTATGAGCCACCGTGCCCGGCCACGTAGGCATTTCATCATCTCACATCACCACAAAAAGAAGGGTGAATATAGTACAATAAGATATTTTGAGAGACAGACCACACTCACATAACTTATATTACAGTACACTCTAATAGCTGTTCTATTTTATTATTAGTTTTGCTGTTCATCTCCTATTGTGCCTAATTTATAAATTAACCTTTATCATAGGTATGTATGTATGCATAGGAAAAAACATAGTACATACTGGGTTCAGTACCATCTGCCATTTCAGGCATCCCTTGGCGGGGGTCCGTAGTCCACCTCAAGGGTAAGGCAGGACTGCTGTACTTTTCCTTGCTATTGATGGTCTTTAATTCAGTATTTGTTTACCATTTTCTTCATGATGAGAAAGAAATGCTCTCAGCAGAAAAGAAACATTAATAATTTCAGCTGGAAAATAAATTGCATGTCTGAAAAGGGAAGGGTTCAATCAGAGAGCACTCTCTCAGTGAAACATTACACAGCACCACAATTCAAGGCCTACAAGAATATTTGATAAGGCTGGGCGCAGTGGCTCACGCCTGTAATTCCAGCACTTTGGGAGTCCAAGGCAGAAGCATCGCTTGAGCCCAGGAGTTGAAGACCAGCCTGGGCAACATAGCAAGACCCCATTTTTACAAAAAATTTTTAAAATTAGCCAAGTATGGTGGCATGTGCCTGTAGTCCCAGCTACTCAGGAGGCAGAGTTGGGAGAATCACTTGAGCCTGGGAGGTCAAGGCTGCAGTGAGCTGTGATTGTGCCAATGCACTCCAGCCCAAGAGAGAGTGAGACCCGTGTTTTACCAAAAAAAAAAAAAAAAAAAGAAGAAGAAGATTAGATGAGAAGGGGAACTGTCCATGATACATTAAATGTGGTGAGCATAGCTGCCTTCCAAGCAGTTGACCTGGGTTTGATTTCCGGCCAATGTGCCCACATGCATACATACACACGATACATTAAATGTAAAAAGGTTCTAAACATTAAGGAGGGTTTGGTCCAGATTATATAAAATAAAATGCCATGTGTAGGATGTGTGTGTGAGAAATACTATTAGATAAAGCTAGGAGGAAAAATGTCTAGAAGGGCATATCCAGTGAATTAATTTCACTAGTTATCTGGGTAATATGATTACAGGTGATTTGCATTTTCCTCTATGGGTCACTCAAACATGCAGTCAGTCAATTATTTAATATGATGGGCCTGGTGTCAGGCACTGGGAACACAAAGGTGAATGTCACAGACGCTTCCCTCCTAGTTTGGAGTGATCCAAACACAGACACGTATCTTGTTAACACAGTGAGTCAAGACAGAAGAGCCCAGGAGGGGCAGGAGGTTTTCTGGAAGAGGTTTTGCCCAAGCGTGGGGCAGGCCAGCCATGGCCAGAGGAAAGTGTGAACTCAGGAAGAACCAGCTCGGACAAGCACAGTGCCACAGGGTATCAGGGGGTTTAAAGTGAGTGTCGAGAATTGGCTGGGGGTTGTGGCTCAAATGCTGTAATCCCAGCACTTTGGGAGGCCAAGGCAGGCGGATCACCTGAGGTCAGGAGTTCGAGACCAGTCTGGCCAACATGGTGAAACTCCGTCTCTACTAAAAATATAAAATTAGCTGGGCATGGTGGCATGCACCTGTAATCCCAGCTACTCGGGAGGTGGAGGCCCGAGAATCGCTTGAACCCAGGAGGCAAAGGTTGCAGTCAGCCGAGATCACACCACTGCACTCTAGCCTGGGTGAGAGAGTGAGACGCTGTCTCAAAAAAAAAAAAAAAAAAAAAAAAAGAATTGATCACTCAGTGAGTAAATGGGAAAGGACAAACTCTGTGGTCTCAGCTGGATGGCTACAGAGCCCTTCTCCTCCTGTACC